TTGAATGTTAAGATCATCAGGAAAGGCCTTCCTCTCATAAGAGAGCGCCTTCTCTGATGGTTCTCCCAGACTTTGGAACTCCACACACACACACCCCAAGAGGCCAGGCTGGCCCTATCTCTGCTGTCTTTCTGCAAGCAGGCAAAGACTATTCTCTTCAGGCAAGTGACTGGCTGCCTGAGGGTTTTTTTAAAATAGATTGTTGTACCTTACTGCTTTGAATGTGTTTTGGTGTTACTAATGTTTTTTAGCATGGCATTTGTTTCAGCCTCTTGTGTTCCTATACTCGCCATTGTTGTCATTGAATACTCTTTTAAAGATATAAGCTGCCTTAGATTCTTCTTAAGGAGAAAGACAGGATAAAATATTTTAAATGAAAGAATGAATAAACATTTCTAGGTCTGCTGCACAAATGTCCCAGTTCAGAGAATGGTTAGGGTTGTTTCATGTGGTACTGAATGTGCATTCCCGTTGTTATGTATACAGGTTGTTATATATTCATATAATCATGAGCATGTCAGTCAGTGTTGGCATTTGCCTAAATGCATGAGGGCTTAAATTGTATAAAAGAACATGGTTGTGTAAAGTGGCCCAGCTCTAGACATCTCTGTGTGTGCAAGCTTTGTTTCTTCAATTCCTGATGGTACCACATAGAGCAGAGTCTTGCATTTGTGTCTGCTAGAACACAAGCAAAACTGTGTGTTGGCAGAGAGTTTGAATTTGAAAATTGAGAAGATTGGGGTGGCACGCAGGACATGAGGCACAAGGTCAGCATGCTTGTCTCTTGCACATTCTAGCAATTGTTTAATGTATGCTTTATGTGTGCGAGTTTTAATACCCAGGAACTAAGGTCCTTCTTAAACCAGGATACAGAACATAGATAGAAGTGTAATTGGTTTTAATATGCTTGTATAAATTGATGAATGGTGTGTTTCAGAATGCCTAGGACACAACCTTTTTGGCTGCAAGGAAGGTCGCGGGGGAGAAGGGTTTTTTATGCAGCAGTTCTTAGTAAGAGTAGAAATTTGTGAGAGGAAAAGTACTGGGAGACTTCAAGGGGCCAAATAAGAAGCACCATAAAAGAAAACAGTGGAGGAGCAAACTGGAGTTAAACACCATAACATTTATCCAACAGTAGGTTTGACTACCTCTGTCTTATCCCAGGGCTCTACAGCAGCAGTTAGGGCTGGTATGAGAGAATGAATCACTTGGAGATGGATAACTGATTTATTGGACTCCACAGCCTTTTGGGGGGGGGGCTTGGCTTTCTTTAATGATGTGAGACCAGGGGTGAGAGTCGGGGTCCTCTTGCCAGAGTGTCGTCCCTTCCCCACACTGTGGAGAGAGAAATACAGACTCTGCCCACTTCACCTCCCAGGAAAACAGAACAACGGGGGACAGATACCCAGGACTTGGAGAGAGAGATACAAGGGTTCATGGTTGAGGAAACTCAAGAGAGGTTGGCAGGAACAGAATGAAGAAAGAGGGTGGAGATAGAGGTGGGAACAGTTGAGATAAAAAGAAAGGATAGTCAGTTGCCTCCAGGCTGGGAATGGGTCTGGATGGAGGATCCGTGGACTGGAGTTTGGGAAAGATTACGAGTACCGAAGGAGGAGGCTGATTATAGGAAGAGAAGGGAGATGCCCCCAAGACCTTTCTACTGAGGTGAAGCAGAGGCTTGGGAGTGGCAGAGGAAACTAAGGGAAGAAAAGGAAAGAGTAGAAAGAGAGTGGAGATAACGAATAGAATGGAGGGTGAACGAGATGAGAGACTACGGGGAGGACCCTGGGCGACCCTTACAACAGCCAGAAATGTCGGGTGGACCGAACCCCAAGATGATGACACCATACCCTTATTGGAAGGAAAGATCGGAAAGGTGGTAAAACCGGATGCATCAATAGATTGGCCAGGTCCTTGGACTATGACAGACAGTAACCCGTTCCTGATTAAAGGGTGGAAGCCCCTGCCAGACCCGTTGTCGGCTGGAGATAAGTTATGGGACAATTTCGTTGATACCAATTACTTGTTGAACACCCCAATAAATCTCACTCCTGTTTTAAAGTTACACAAGTCTCACCATTTATTCGAAATAAAAGGAGAATCACAGAACGAACACTCACAAATGACTTATTTGAAATTGTATACTTAATCATAATTGTTTCCTTCTTTCCCCTTCTCCAACCTCCCTTATTTAAAACATTCTTGTCAGCAAATACATTAGACATTAATTGTTTTGTGTCTCCAGTATGCATTGGTGTTAATTTGCTCAGGAGTAAATCAAGATATTCAATGAGAATTTCTTCTTTTTTGTTTTGGATTTTGGCCTTGTAGTAGAAATGTGTATGTATCTATTCAGAAGTTAAATTTTATTTAGTTCAATATGTCTTATTAGTATAGGATTGCAAATTTTAAAAAAATACTCAGCTGTGTCTCTGTAATGCTGACAGTCACTAAACAAACTGAATCTCATCAACCAGATGAATGTGTCAAGGCCCATATGATACAGCATTAGCTACATTTTATTATCTCCCCTTATATAATATGTGAACCTACATAATTTTATACCATGAGAATTGATCAAAAGAGCAATTATTTTACTCATACATTTTCCTATATTCTCCACCATTACAGTTTGGAATGATTTTTCCCCTTTGCATTCTCACTGCTACCAAAGTTTTTAAATAAAATAACACAATGCTTATTGCCCACTAGAGAAATGTATGAATGTAAGTGTTCTGTAAGAAGTCTGATAATATCTGTAATTTTTAAAAAATGAAACTGCATTTAGTATGCTATACTGAACATAGACCCATGCCATATGATTTACTGGAAGTTGTTACTCTTAAACCTATATAATATGTACAGCAATATGATATTAAAATGCCAAAGGCGCAGTATTTATAATCCCACTGTGTATTTTACGCGCCTTGAAAATGAAAACTGGTCTGGTTTAATGAACCACTGTTCTGAAAAAAATGCTGAAGCTAGAGTAAAGCATTGGCTACACAAAATGTCACACAACTGGTGAGGTTGCACAGGTGTCATGAGTGTTGCACCCCTTTGAGTGTAGCAATCTAAGTTGATATTGCTACTCCAGGATCCTCACTTTCAGGGTGTCATTTGTTGAATGGTGTTTCCTGACACAATCATTACTGAATGCAGAGGAAGAACTAGGTACCGTACAGTGATCCTTTGTGGTCTTGTAAAAAAGACTTTGTAGCCAGTGGGGGAACCATGCAATCCATAATTTTACATATCTAATGATTAGTAATAATCTTTTATCGTTGGATTACAACTAGTAGCAGAACTGGACCACCATCCCATTGATCAAGCTGTGCTGCTGTTTGACATCACTAGGCACCTGGGTTGCTGCCATGGGTACAAATATTTGAAGGGCTGGAGGTGTGCCTAAAACTGGGCTTCTTTTTCTGGTAACTACCTTTATGTGGATAACAAAAGAAGCATTTGCTGCAGCAGTGCAAGGAAGAACTTCACTGTTCTTGAAGTTCAATCTGGTAAAACAAAACAATGATTTTAACTTTTTCTTTACTGTTGAATTACAGTATGCATCCATATATGGAAAAGGCAGTATAAGGTAGCAGTGCTGCTGTACTGCATACAGCCTCAATGGCCCTTGTGATTCCTCACAAGGAAACAATGAGGCAATTGCTGTTTTTCCCTCAGTATATATCAGTGGATTACATCCTTGGGTCACCAAACGTCTTGGACTACAAATCCCAGAAATTCTGGTCAGCACAGCTAGTGGCGAAGAGTCTGGGAGTTTTAGTCCAAGACATCTGTAGACCCAATGTTTGGAACCACTGCTATATGTATTGAAATGTGCATTGTGTGGAGGGGAGGAGGAGCCAAAATGGGAAAGAAACAGTTTGTTTGGTGGGTAGCAAGGTGGTACGGTACATTGAATCCATCCCAGTTTTCTTTCAGCTTCGTGGCTTGCATTTATGTTAAGTCCCAAACCTGCCAGAATATAAACTATGTATCCTTCACTCCTCTGCCATCAGTTTGTATTGGCTTGGTGCAGTTAGACATTTGCTAACTCAGGGATGGTGACCTGGAATCTCTGGTTGTATGCTTGAATTCAATTTCCCTCCTCCCAATTCATTCTGCATTTTCAGTGTCTTCTTCAGTATTTAAGCTTGATTGCCTTTGCAGTGAATTCCCTGAGGTTCCACTATGACTGTTCCTGTAATTCTATCAGTGTTTGAAGGAGTAATTTATTTTTCTGCTTATCCAAATCTTCTTTTGGCCAGTGCAAGGACTTAATTAATTTTCTTCCTACAGTCTAAAAATGCACAGTACTCTGTTTCTTTTCCTTTTGTTCACATAGTCCTTTGAGTTCTGCTTGCTGTTCTGTGTTACACTAAATATCAGCTTTGGCCAGCTTGGAATTGACAAGGCCAACTTCTTTGAGAAAGTATCTGCTTCCTTTCCTGTCCCCAATAAATATAATACAAGTTTTCTATCCGACGGCAGCACAGGCTAGATATAACCTCTTTTTTTATATATACATTTTGGATTTATCAGTGCTACCGAGCTTATCTTATATGTATAATTCAGTACCACCTATTGTTAAAGGAAGCAAAGCTGGACTTGGACATTGTAGTTGTTTTAGTTATATCTGCCCCTTTGATCAGTTCTTATCAAATTAATGTCATTCATCGGCTGCATGAGGATGAATAAACTGAAGCTTTATCTGGACAAAGCAGAAGTACTCCCAGTCAGTCCAAAGTCAGATCAGGGAATAAGAATTCAGTGTGTGCTCTTTGTGGTTACCTTACACCTTAGCCCAAATGCTCAAATACTTTTTGAATGTCTTTGTGGATTCAGACCCTGGGCCTGGAAGCTCAGGTTTTGGTGGTGTCCAAGTTTGCATTTGTACAGCTAAAACTATCTGAGAGGAACATACCTCTCCCTGTGAACTTGCCTGGGTCTTAATATCTTCAAGGCAGTCCTTTCTTTGTGCCCTACTTCCTTCACAGGTGCATTTGGTGAGGATGTGAGAAAGGGTCTTCTCTGTGGATACTCCTGAGCTGTGGAACTGCCTTCTGCAGGAAGCTGGGTGAGCTCCCTCCCGCTTGATGTTGGCTGGCACACAAATGCCATTTCTATTTACACAGGCCTTTGGCCATGGACTAAATGAGAAAGAAAGAAGGGGCTTCTTTAACTGTATTGGTGCTGTGCTTCCTTTTTCTAATTGTTCATTTTATTTGCTTTTTAATCATGTTAATTCAGTGCTTGTTTTAATGTTATGATATCAATAGTGCTTTAATTTTGTGTGTGTGTGTGTGTGTGTGTAAGTATTTAAGTCTGTCTGTCTGTCTGTCTGTCTGTCTGTCTGTCTGTCTGTCTGTCTGTCTGTCTGTCTCCCTACCTACCTACCTACCTACCTACCTACCTACCTACCTACCTACCTACCTACCTACCTACCTATCTATCTATCTATCTATCTATCTATCTATCTATCTATCTATCTATCTAAAGCTCTCTGTTTTTAAATTCATGCTGTAAGTCACTTAGGTCCTACAAGAGAGAAGGTGGAATGTAAGTAAACAAAATAAAATACTAAATAAGGTATTTAATAAAATAATAAATAGGACCTAAATAAGGTCCTATTCACACTTACCTGGGGAAAAATTCAATTGAATTTAAGGGATTTACTTCTGGGTGAGCATATATAGGATTGCATATTGCACAAACTATTTTTAGAATTTACAAATATCAAAAATTTCACCTGAGCATTTGGTAATTAGGGAGATTATGGCTTGGTCTTCAGTTTTTCTGCTTGTTTTAAACTTTGTTTCTTTAATAAATTATTTAAAGTGTTATAAAATGTTTTAACTGTTCTGAAGCATATATGTGTTAGTGTCCTCTAATATGATTTTATTGATTGTACCCTGCCCTCAAATATGTTAACAGGGTGGATTAGAAATGAACAAAGAAATCCACACCAGATATATTAACTAAATATAGGTAAAAGAATTTGGTCTTTTCAAAATCTAGGAGTATGGATTTCCAAAATTTTAGAAAGTGACACATAATGTTTCTTGTTTTAATTATAACTGCTCATAGGATGGTCACATGAAATAGAATTCAAAGCTCCTGAGTCTTTAATAGTTTAGAAGAGGAAATTTCAGCAGGTACTGCTTATTGAAAGTTTTAAAAAAAGTTAATTGGACTTTATCATTTGGTACTACAGAAAGATCATGCAACGAAAGAAACTTTCCTGTTACATATAAGAGCTCTTCCATTTGTAAATCCAGTACCAGTAATAAATAAGTGACTGAATGGGTCACAAGACAACACTTAATTTTTTTAAATTAGTGACGGTACAGGAACCAACAGTTAGTTGTACTGGTCTGCAAGGAGAACAAACCTATCCATTCTGAAGGAAATCAACCCTGAGTGCTCACTGGAAGGACAGATCCTGAAGCTGAGGCTCCAATACTTTGGCCATCTCATGAAAAGAGAAGATTCCCTGGAAAATACCCTGATGTTGGGAAAGTGTGAAGGGAAGGGAAGAAGAGGACAACAGAGGACGAGATCATTGGACAGTGTCATCAAAGCTACCGACATGAATATGAGCCAACTCCAGGAGGCAGTGGAAGACAGGAGGGCCTGGTGTGCTCTGGTCCATGGGGTCACGAAGAGTCGGACATGACTTAACGACTAAACAACAACAACTGGTTTCTGAGTAAATTCACTCATAGCAATAAAGCTGGAATAACTTGCTGACCCACATAGTGGAAATATTAAATACATATTCCAATCTCAAAAGAAGGAGATGTCAAGACTGCAGTTATCTAGATTCTATAGCACCAATGCATTTATTTCCCATGCCAGGAAAGTGATGCTCAAGGTTTAAAAACAAAGACTTTTATCTTGTATGGAGAGAGGAATGGCAGACATTTAAGTTGGATTTTTAAAAGGAAGAGATACTAGAGATCATATTACTGTCAGTCAGGTACTATTTTTAGGGTCCAAAGATACACTGGCTTTTCATTTCACATTCGCTTTTTATCTGACATGATTTAAATAAATCTTCAAATTAATTGCAGCCATTAATAGCCTCTGGTCTTCTCTAGTTACAACACCTCGCCCTCTGGGGCAAATATTGAACTGTATATACAATTGCAAATATACATTGGCTAATGGAATGTATCAAAGAATTTCAGGGGAATAAATCAGTTTTTGCTTCCTGTTTAAGATCACTTTAAGAATAGAAAGTGAAGATTCAGCAATAAAGCCTTTGATAAATCATAAAAAGCTACAAACCTGTCCAGAAGAAATTGGTGTGCCACAACATTTGATTGTCCTGATGTATAATCTGTTCTCTAAATAATGGGTTACTGTTAGAACAAAATATGGAGAAACAGAATGGTTCTGCATTGGCAAAGTTACAGACAAGGGTATATTTTGTCTCTGCGTCTCGTTAAGTCTTTGTGCAGAACATGTCATATAAAAACGATTAGATTCAGATGAAGGAAGCTCAAATGCTGATAGAAGAAACATTTATGATATACTGATGACACTGTAATAGTCGTAGGAATAAAGTGGTAACTAAGGAACTAGGATTAAATAATAAAATGCAAAAGAGAGGTTAAAGTTGAACATTTAGAAGACAAAAATAATGACTACAAAACAATTATATAACTTTAATGTTGACAACAAAGAAATCAAAATTGTTGAAGATTTTCTATAGCATGATTAAATCATTAATTCAAGTGGAGAATCAAGTGGAGTGCAACAAAAAAAATCAGAAGGCAATGCCTTAGGAGGGGAACTACAAGAGATAATTAAGCATGAGGATATGTGGCTAAAAATCAAAGCCAAGATAATCTGTATGATATTCCCAATTTCTATGTATGAATGGAAAAGCTGGACAATGGAGAAATCTGACAGGAAAAAAATGTTGATTTATTAAAAATGCGGTGTTGGAGGAGAGCTTTACAGACACTGCATTGCCAGAAAGACAAATACAGTATATGGGTTCCAAATCAAATCAAACTGAACTCTCACTAGAATGTAAAATAATTAAACTGGATCTATTGTTATTTGGACATAACATGAGAAGATAAGGCTCATTGGAGAATCCAGTAATGCTTGGAAAAGTTGAAAGCAGTAGGAAAAGAAAATGTCATAACATGAGATTGGATCAGCTACAGCCAGAGCCTTTAGTTTACAAGACCAGATCAAGGCTTTTGGAGGAACTTTTGGAGGTCATTAATTCATAGACTCAGCATAACTCAAAAATGACTTGAAGGCATATAACAATAACTAGTTGACACACCTTTCTAATCCAATTTACCAAATTATTTGCCAAATAAGTTCTGGGAGGTATCTTAAAGAAGCAGTTTAGATTCTCTAGAGAGGTGGTTCTCAATCTTTGGTGCTCCACACATTGTGGATGTCAGCATCTAGAATCTCTGACCATAGTTGACCATGCTGCCTAGAATTTTAGGGAGTCCATCAGAGGACCCACAGATGAGAACTATTAGGACTCTAAGAATCTTGCCTCTGTTAGATAAACTGTGCTTTAGGTTCCATTTCATGTATGATATACTTTAATGTTTGGAGAGTGTGTAGAATGTTCCAATCTTGTTTCTATGTACAGTTTGATTATATGTACATACATCTTGATTACATGTAATAAAATGTTAAAAGAAAACAAAGTCCAGTGCGGCAATCAATTGAACTGTAAAATGATCTGATTTATTCATTTCTAAATGCTTTTCATGATACACTTCAGAAGCATCTTTCCAGGGCTGTGTTTGCCTTCTCTTGTTCTCACACTCTCTTTATGTGTTTATGAATTTTACAAAGGTTGTAAAATTCCAAATAATCCTTCACCAGTGATTTATTGTAAATGGCTATCTACACAACCAAAGAAACATGTAGCTGTACATTATTCCCACTGTAGCTGCTGCACATTTCGTTGACAACATCCTATGGCACTGTCACATCAGATTATGTTGATACATTACGCTAATCTTTTTCTTCCATAAAACAAATGCCAGTGGAATTTCTATGAAAAATTGAAAAACATACTGTGGTTGCTTAGTTTTGATTGTGAGTAGTTCATTCCAGAAGACTGAAACAATACAAGGCCAGGATATTAATGATGTGAAATACTCCAAGTTACATAGCAACCAAACCTTCCTTATGAATCGAATGAAGAAACCAGCAAAGGTCTCCAACTGCAAATGTGGAAATTGCAACTTCAAAGCTGAACTGTCAGATGACTGAAATGGTGAAAACAAGTAGTTCCCCATTTTAAAATCCCTTGATGATTCAATTTTGTATGTGAAGCAATATTAAACTCCATATATCATGAAAATAAGACCTGCTGGTTCACCTTTTCAGCACCTGTGCTAATGCTTAAAATATGAAGTGTACCCTAGATTGTGTAGAAAATGAAATAAAATTCTGGAGGGATGTAAGTGAGTCACTTCGAGTGCCCCCAGCAAGCCCTGCCCTGCAAGCCCATGGGTGCCCGGGAGAGAGTGAGTCTCCTGGACCCCTAGCCGACAGGATGCACCGCTGCTGGGGAGGAAGGGCTACTGCCTGATGTGGGACAGCTGGAGTAGAGCACTATGGTGGGCATAAAGAGGGTGGGAGTGGCCCTTGCGCAGTGTTATTGTTAACTGTGTCAGATGAAAGGGAGACATGGGAGGAGGCAGTCAAGCACTGGGACCACACGGTTGTGGTGGGTTTTTCGGGCTCTTTGGCCGTGTTCTGAAGGTTATTCTTCCTGACATTTCGCCAGTCTCTGTGGCCGGCATCTTCAGAGGACTGGAGTAGGAACCTAGAGTGGTCCAGCCGCCTAGAGTGGTCCTTGTGTGAATAAATAAAATAAATATAATAAATAAATAATAAACTCTGTCCATGCTCTGTTGGTGTTTGTTGGATAGTATTTATAGCTGTGGGAATGGCTTTTTGTCTTTTTTCACGAGATAGGGCGATCAGCATGTTTTTGTTGTGATGGGGGGCGCAGGGAGAGATTATCTGTCCCTGTGTTTGATGGGTGTCATTAGCTCTGGTCTTTTTTGTGCAATGATCTCTGGCCCTTGTGGCTGGGTAAGAGTCCGCTGACCTTCTGCAGGTTGTATTTTTCAGAATGGGACGCCAGGCCCTGTTTAGTTTCAGGCCTTCTTCTAATCTGTTGAAGTTTTGTTTATGTTTATGGGTTTCAATGGCTTCCCTGTGCAGTCTAACATACTGATTGCTGGTGTTGTGCAGTACTTTAGTATTTTGAAATAAAATTTCATGTCCAGCTTGTTTAAGGGCATGTTCAGCTACTGCTGATTTTTCAGGTTGTTTTAATCTGCAGTGTCTTTCATGTTCTTTGATTCTGGTGGGAATGCTGCATTTTGTGGTCCCGATATATACCTGTCCACAACTGCAAGGTATCCGGTATACTCCTGCAGTGGTGAGAGGGTCCATTTTGTCTTTTGCTGACCATAACATTTGTTGTATTTTTGTGATGGGTCTGAATACTGTTTGTAGGTTGTATTTTTTCAACAGTTTCCTCATGCGGTCCATGGCTCCTTTGATGTATGGCAGAAATACCTTATTTGTGGGTGGCTGATTTTCCTCTTCAGTTTGGTGTTGTTTTCTTGTTTTGATGGCTCTTTTGATTACATTCTTGGAATAGCCATTCGCCTGTAGGGCCCAATTCAAATGGTACTGCCCGAAAAACCCACAACAACCATTAGATCCTGGCCGTGAAAGCCTTCGCGAATACACTGGGACCACATCTTCTGCACCTCCATAGAAGTGCAAGCACAGTAGAGGATAAGTGGATCTACCTCCTCCTACACAGGCCATTTGACTATAGAAGGAGGTTGGGTCTCTGGGGCTTTGGCAATGCAGCCCCCAGTTGATCAAGCACCATCCTGCTCTTGGTATCCTTGCCACCCATTGAGAGCAACAGAGCCTAATCCAGCCCGGTTTTGGTGTTGAGATGCAAGCAGTAACAAGCAGCTCTGTAGAGTCCAGTCCCCATCACCTGCCTTTACCAGGCCTCCCTGAAAGGATTGCACCCTGGAATGGGAGATGTACTTTCGGCCTCTTTCTCTGGACCTGGATCTTTAAGGACCCCAGTGAAGTCAACTGAAGGCCCAATTGGACTGACTGTGCCCAGGGAGTTTGTGCCAGAAACTGAAAGCCCGGGAAATGTGGCAAAGGGGTGATGGGGGCTGACTTTGTGCCTTTAATAAAAACTTCTATGAGTGACTAAACCAGGCTGGAACCCATGGAAGTGTAGAGTTTGAAAAGTTACTTTTCAAAGAATGAATATAAGAGTATGCTGAGGCCATTAGTCTCTGAGTATCTATAACTGAAACCCCACCATAATTTCACTACTGTGCAATTACAGTGGTTTCTGCAAGTCCTTATACTCTTTAGTGAAGGTGACATTTCAAACTCTGTTTAAATGTGATTGTCATCAAGGTGAGCTGTTCATAGTCAAGAACAAAGGGTCAAGGGCTCTACAAACATTCTCAAAAGTTTTTTGTTTGAATGGGTGCAATAAAGCTTACCTGCAATGCTTTACCCTGTCATCTGGAGCAACTGAGATCAATTCAGATAAGATGACTCTTATGTCTGAGGAAGTGGACTTTCCCACCATAAAAGCTCACATTATAATATAGCAGTTGGTCTTTAAGATGCTATGATGTTTTTGTCTTCGTTACTTTTTAATTTAATTTAATTTTTCTTTTTGCCTGTTATGGTACCATAGACTAACAGCTACCTCTTTTAGGATTCCCTAGGCACCTGTCAACAGATGAGTGGATAAAATACCTTAAGTGTGCAAAGCACACCTTGCTAGTCTTCACATGGCCACTGTCAATTTAGCAGCATAGCCTGCTCTTCTTACTGTACTTTTATAAGATGAAAAAACCAACAGTATTGTTGCTACAGATGTTACTGATTTTATATTTTGTATTCCTCATTTGCTTCATGTGATATCATAAACAATTTAATACATAAATTCATAAATAGATGATGGTGTCTTAAGATTGGGTCTCTGTAGCTTTTTGAAGGTGATCAGATGTGCATCCTGTTGACATCTGAGCTCTTTACACAGCTCACACAGACTAGTCACTCCACATTTATTTAGTTTTTCTCTCCTCGTCCACAGCATAGGAGGGAGGAGTTGATTGTCTCTTGTTCTATCAGATGTACACATTCAGCATGGCGTGTATGTGAAGTTCTCCAACTGTTAGGACCTCTGTACCTGGTCTTACCTTAGTACTTTTGTGTGAATGAAGGAGGGACACACAATTGTAGTAAGAACTAGGTTCGGGTAGAGAGTTTACACGTCATATCTGTTGCTCCTGCTAAAGCAGTCTTATTGAAAGTTTTTGTAGAACTATTACTGATGAAACGAAATTATATTAAGTTGCATACCATCAAGTCAATACCAATCTATAGTGAACCTTCTCAGAGTTTTCTATATATAAAGTACTCAGAAATGGTTTACCACTCCCTCCTTCTGGGAGTGCCCCAGGACTGTGCAGCTTGCCCAAATCTATGCAGGCTGGCCCTTCTCCTAGGGGCATAGTGGGGAATTGATCTCCCAGCCTCTGACTCGGCAGCCAGCTACTGAACTCAGTGAGCTATCTAGCCAGCTACAGTATAGAAGGCTCAGAATTTTATGTCATCTAGCTCTTACACCATGAAGGAATGAACTGGTTTTGATGTGCATAAGAAACATGAAATGATTTTTATTATAGTGAGAGAGATTTTGTTCCCACAAGGCTCGGAAATACTAACAAACTAAAAAAAATTATCCCAGCACTCTTCTAAGAATTGAAGATGGGACTGTGAGCTCTCAGGGCCAGCGTATGATCTGACTGGCAAAATCAGTTCTCTGTTTACAGTACAAGTTGATTTAATTACTTGAGCAAATAAAATACTGAAATTGATTCACATCTTAGTTTTCTGAGCATGTGGAGAGTGACTGCCCTCACACCTAATCATCTAGCGCTCATTGCCATATCTCTGTGATTATCCAGTGAGGACTTGTTGTCTCCAAGAATTATTTCACTGGAAAGCAAAAACCATTATTTTCATTCAGAAAACTGTTCTCTGTTTCATAAAAGTAAAATGGACATCTAAGGTAGTGATTGGATGGGTATTTGTCCAGCTGTTTGTGCTGTGTTCCTCAGTGTTCTTTTCAATATACATTCCATTGAATACTTGATAGTACTAATTGCAGCTGGTTCTTATATTTTTGCATGTGTGTGCAAGATATTTTGTTCAGCTGGCAGAGCTTTTTTTTTTTTGTAGCATTTTCAGTCACATTATTTTGTTCTTTTCTCCCCAGCTTGTATAACTGCCGGAACCAGTCCTTTGGAGCAGCTGTTGGGCATCTCCAGATTACATCATTGATGATGCACAGAGTGTGGTGTGGGAGTAAACCCTACTCTTTTCCTCTGCCTTCTGCTCATGCCGATAAGAATTACAACTGTAACAGAAGCTGAAAAATGTACTTATAAAATACGTTTTCTCCTAGTTCAACACTTTAGCACTAATCTGATACAGCACTAATTCAGATGCTTAGCTTGTCTTGTCAGTTCAACGCTATTTCACTTGCTACCATTTTTAAAAAAGGGATTTGAATGCCTATGAAAGGGGTAGATAAGAGGGTGATGATAATGGCAGAGAAGGGCAAGAGGAAAGGAGTACTGTGTGACATATGGGCACTGGCACTTGAAACACTTTTTCCTGGAATAATTGAACATTTCTGAATAAATGACATTGGCAATTTAAATGCTAAGGTGTCGTATAGAAAACTTTTCAATAACCCAAGACAGATGTCTATATGATCACATCCTAACTTGCTATTGGTTTTTCCAAACAATGGAAATACTTTTTCCCCTCTCCAGATATTAGTTGGCTTGAACTGCCTATCCTGTCCCTATATCATATATAGTACATAATAACATAGGTTTACAATTGATAGTTCTGTTGTGTAATGATCATGGCCGGAGAAAGACATGAGCTTCAGTTTTTTGAGAAGGTACCATGTGGTCTGGAAGCCATACATGTGTGCCTAGTATTATCGTTGGCCTTTCCACAATAATCCCTCATCTTCACCCCCACTGCTAGAAATAAGAGCTCATGGGGATGTCAGTCCTCCTATCTTGTTCTCCAAGCATATCTCATTCCCGAGATCTTAGCTGAGATCTGGCTAGCAGATTGTGGGGAACCTGATGGTGGTGGGAAAGAGGATATGTGAGTCAAATCATCACTTTGTGTTCTCCGCCCCCATTAAGATCACCTTGAGAAAGGCTGAGATAAAAGGTTTCTTGCTTTCTCCCAGCTGATTAGGCATCCTTCAGTCTTAAGGGACTATTGTAACATGCTCTGAATAGAGGACTTGGAACAGCGTCTAGTGTGGCTGAGAAGGCCAATTCGAGAGTGACAATCCCTTCCACACTGAAGAGAAATCCAATCTGTCCCCTGTCCAGCTCCCTGGTTTTGCTGGTTTCAGGTCTGCCTCTTTGCCTCGGCCTGCTGAACAAGTTCTCTTCAAAATGCGAGAGGTCATGATGCACTGCCTGCCTCCAGGCTGAATGCTCAGATGTCAAAGCTTCCCATCTGTTGAAGTCTATTTCTAAGGCCTTCCAATCCCTTTTGCAGCTATCCTTGTACCGCAGCTATGATCTCCCTCTGGGGCGCTTTCCCTGCACTAATTCTCCATACAGGAGATCTTTTGGAATCCGACCATCAGCCATTCTCACGACATGCCTGAGCCAACATAGACCTCGCTGTTTCAGTAAGGTATACTGTATATGCTAAAACTTCCAGCTCATTCTAGGACTACTCTATTTGGAACTTTGTCCTGCCAGGTGATACCAAAATGCGTTGGAGACAGCACATATGGAATGTGTTCAGCTTCCTCTCCTGCTGTGCACAAAGGGTCCAGGACTCACTGCAGTACATGAGTATACTCAGTACACAGGGGCTCTATAGACCTGGATCTTGGTATGTGTTGTCAGCTTCTTATTGAGCCATACTCTCTTTGTGAGTCTAGAGAACATGGTGGCTGCTTTCCCAATGCGTTTATCCAGCTCGACATCTAGAGAGAGGGCGTCAGAGATTGTTGAGCCAAGGTACACAAAGTCATGAAGAACCTCCAATTCTTCTGTGGAGATGGTAATAGAGGGAGGTGAGTCCACGCCCTGGCCCATGACTTGTGATTTCTTCAGGCTGATTGTTAATCCAAAGGCTTGGCAGGCCTTGCTAAAATGATTCATGAGTTGTTGGAGGTCTTCAGCAGAATGGGCAACAACAGCTGCGTCATTGGTGATGAGGAAGTCCCACATGCAGTTCAGCTGGACTTTGGTCTTCATTCTCAATCTAGAGAGATTAAAGAGCTTTTCATCTGATCTAGTCCAGAGATAGACACCTTCTGTTGCAGTTCCAAAAGTGTGCTTCAGCATGACAGCAAAAAAGTTCCCAAACAGGGTCAACATGAGGACATAGCCCTGTTTCACTCCACTTCGGATGTCAAAAGGATCTGATGTTGAGCCATCTCCCAGCTATTTTCAATATAATTCTTGGGATAAGGACCGAGGCCCTAACCACACCCTCATCCAAGCAATCATGCTTATGGGGCAAGGCTGAGCAAAATCACCCTTTTACTACTACTCATGATCGCTGTGAGGAAGATGAAGTTATGGTCCAAAATCTGAATGAAGATTGCTGAGGCAGAAGGAAATTTTAGCCTCATTCCCCATCTCCTCACTTTGGAGCAAGATTGCCAGGATGGAAAGGAAGGTTGTAACTTCCTCACCCCAGCATTCCTGCTCAGGACCTTTTCTTCTCCTAATGGTTTGTGAGAAAATGGGAGTTGCAGTGTAGGTGCACAGGAGAGAGAGAGAGAGAGAGAGAAACCCTCACCACTGAGCCAATGCTATATTCAGCCCTTAGGACAAAAGCGTTTACCTATGCATACTCTTAACAGGCCTTGAGGAACAGAGAAAATGATAGTAGAGCATTTTTGCATAGGGACAGAGGTGGTCTTTCTGCAGGAGTCACTGCATTCGTCTTTACTTGCTACATTTATCCTACATCCTTCTTCCAAGAAGCTCAGATTAGTAACGTTTCCGTCTGTGATATTTGTTTTTATTTTCACAGCTATAATGCAAGATCAGTGAAGCTAAGGGACTGTTTCTGAATTTCAAGCTGATCTCACTTGTTCTCAGTTCATTCTCTGCCAGTGATTCTCAGTTGTATGTACCCAGATGTCATTGTGCATCAGTTCCCAGAAACTTTAACTGTTAAGTCATGACAAACGAGGCATCTGCAAGTTGAAATAGAAAATATGTGGACAACCAAAGGTTGAGAACCATGGATCTATTGCCACAGCAGGTCTTGAAGGTGCCTAAACAGCTACATATAGATGCACACACAGATTCTTGATGCCTCTTTGACAGTCACTATATCCATATATTCACTGAATGGGCTACCTCTCTACACAGAAACAGATGCATATGTAGCATGTCCATGCTCAAGTCAATAGGAAAGCTGATTTATACAGGAGAACTCGACAGGTATCAAAAGCTCTGAAGGGAAAACAACTGGAAATTTTCAGGAGGGTAGCCATATTCATCTGTTGTAAAAAAGCTCACATGGAGTCTTGTAACAGCATGAAAACTAATATGTTTTACCTGGCATGAACTCTTTTTGGATTGTAGTCCACTTTTTCAAAGAAAATTTCACATTTGCTACCTTTTTTCAAATATAAGAGGCAGGATGTATTTATACTTAGCCCTCTCCCTGCTCTTGAGTGAAAGGATATTTGTTACAGAAGCTCTTTTTCCTTTGACATGTGGCAGGAGGGCAGAGGGGAAAAGCACCTTCTGATGTTTGGAACTTTTGTACATAAACCATATCAGATACTGGTGAAATGGGTACCTTTGTGGCTGCACATCTTGTAAATCTGGGGCTGAGCTACAAACGTCAGGGCTTTTAATGCTTGTGTAAAGATAGGCTTTATACATTAGGAGTCACACACAGAGACAGACAGACAGACAGACAGACAGACAGACAGACAGACAGACAGAGACAGACAGACAGACAGACAGACAGACAGACAGACAGACAGACACACACACACACACACACACACACACACAGAGTGCTTCAGAATAAAACCCAAGACAAATAAGAATTCCAATTAAAACTCACACTCATCCCAAGCATTCAATTTTTGGTAAACAGTTTAGTGCAATTCCTAACCTTTTTCAAGTTGTGACCCCTTTTGATAATAGCCAAGTAACCTGCAGCCCCCACTACTGTGTTTGCGTAATGACATTTTTAATAGGGCAAAGGCAGAGGCTTCTTTGTCCCCCTCAAAGGACCTATTTCTCATACATATACATACACGCTAAATTTAATATCTGGCTCTCTCTGTAAGGCCAAGGAAGAAATTATTTAACAAGGGCGCTACAAAATATATAAGGCAACCTGTAACACCACCCACCCCAGAAAATACTTGGTGACCCCCTTGGAGGTCACAACCCTCAGGTAGGAAAAAGTGGTTTAGTGTCTCTGCGTCAAACCAGTGCAAACAGAAGGTGCCCACCCACCACTATATAATATGGCATGAAAGTATAAATCAAACATGTTCAACCAAATTGCACACACACATCATTCCCAGTGAATGTATGTATACAGCTTATATGAACCAGCAAACCATGGCCAGTAAAGCTAAAGCCATGATGAGTCATATACTGTACTAGGATTTTATTTGTTTGTCTGTTATTAATTAAAGTTATATTGTTACCCTATATTCAAATATGCCAGGGCAGGAAATTTTGGAATAATGTTTGCATAATCAAAACACAAAGGAACAACCAAATTAAATGGAAGGCAAAACCCATACTACCCCTTTACTCGAAGTCACATATGGTTCCGGATACAAGCTTTCCATCTAAGTAAAGTAGTCCTTTGCAGTGGTACCAGTAAGCCGGATGTTGTCTTCAGCAGCCACAGAGCAGTAGAATAGAAAGAAAGAAAGAGGGAGGAGATTGGATGCTTTCGCAGGCCCATGATATTTTCTTTACTTCTCTGTTCATCACTGATGGCTGGACCATTAGGGCAAATTTTATTGATTGATTGATTGATTTGATTTGATTTGTACGCCACCCATCTGGTCTATAAGACCACTCTAGACGGCTTCCAATACAGCATACAACAATAAAATAATACAAAATATTACATAAATCATGTAATAACAAATACAATACAAAGACAGAATAAGATATAAATAAAGGAAAAATAAGAAAAATCAGATATTAGCTGGAGGGAAGGCCTGAATATACAGCCATGTTTTAAATTGACTTTTAAAGGTGCCCAGCGTGGGGGCCGCGCGAATCTCCGGAGGGAGGTTGTTCCAGAGGCGAGGAGCCACCACCGGGAAGGCCCGGTTTCGTGTCTTTTCCTTCCAGAAATTGAATGCTCAGGCTACTCCCGGTTAGACATTCCTGTCTGCCTCCTTTCCTCCAGTGCAGGACTGGGCAATGTATGGTCCCCAGCAGCTGAAATGCGGCCTCCCAAGACATCCAGCCTCTTCAATACTCAAAATTAAACAAAAAACTGGGGGTGGTGGTGGAAGAGAATGGTTACAAAACCCATCACGCGCAATCTAGGGGACATAAAGCAATTTTGCCATGTTTAGAGGGCCCCTTGCAGATCTATACCACTGAACAGCCAAAATTATTATTTCTTAACTTGGCTCCAGAAGACT